GAGGTTCAAATGCGGTGACTCCAGGCTATTTGCAAAACAGATGGTCGCTCTAGGATTAGTCAACTCGTATAGCGAGTTGGATATCCAGGTTAATTAAAAAAATGATACATGTCCCTCTATTTCCCATATGTATAAACAAAAGGTTATCAAGAAAGAATGTATTCACATATAACATCATACATACATACGTACACATATTTATATGATGTGTTATTTTTAAACCTGATATTAATTTTATTAATAAAAGGTCTGATTTTATTCCAAACATAATCTTACAATAGAATCTGATTAAAAACGACCCTAATCATAATCTTTGAACACTACCAAAATCTTGATCTTAGTAACCGAAAAGAAAATTCAAATCAAGTGGGATTCCCTTATGATGCTAAAAGTGCTTTGTTACTATTATTGGTAAATTTTCTTTAATTCAACAAAAAATGATTTTAATCATTTAGAATATGTAACAATAATGTTTTAAATCAACGTCAATATGTCAGATTTTGACAACCGATGTTTATGAGAAAGTAAAATCCATAAGATTTCTTATTCGTTAAGAAATTCGATGCATGAATTGTTATCTTATCCATTTACAAATACATATGCATATATACATATATATATATATGTTATATATAAAATAAAAATATACAAAATATGCGATGTGGTGCGGTTTGAACCACGATCTAATAACTCAAAATCGCAAGCCATACCGCAGCGCATAGTGCAATTTGGTAAAAATGCAAACTGCAAACCACACTCACGAAAGTTGTAAACCACGTTTTACGGTGTTGTACGCTGCGGTGTGAATGGTTTGACGGTTTAAATGGATGCCCCAACTCTTGGTATGTCATCTTAACTATTGTGTTCCTAAGGAAATGCTAACAAGTAGTTTGGATGATGGTTGTTGTTTCATCACATCGAAACAGAAAAGTGGTTGGTGTATGACGTTACGTTACTAGATTAAACTTACAGATCAAGGACATGGTTTTTCCCTCTAATGCCTCTAAACCCCTCAATAGGATGTGATTCACAACATAATATGGAATAGAGTACATTAGTTTTGGTTTGTTAAAATTTGCGGATTTCGTCCATGTGATTTTAGAATTTTGGTTTTCATCCCTATGGTTTGCAATTCATTTCAATTTTTGTCCCTGAGTCTAAAACATTGCTTTTAAGTATGAAGGACTAAAATATAAATAAATTGTAAACCATAAGGACAAAAAAACAATAAAATTTAAATTATAAGACCGAAAAGGTAATGGATTATTAATTCTAAGGATGAAATTTGTAATTTCAAAACCATGAGAAGAAAAATAGATTTATTTAACAAACTACAGGGATTAAAAACATAATTACTCTATTGAATAATATAACATAAACATTCTACAACCATTTGCAAATAGAATCTGCAACATCCATCTAATACTAGAATCAATTACATACCGGAATATTGAGACTTAAAACAAGTATTGTACTGTTATTAGGGCTCTAAACGAACCGAACGAACACGAACATAGGCTTGTTTATGTTCGTTCGTTTAACTTAACCGAACAAACGAACGAACACGAACGGTAAACAAACGAAAATCTTTGTGTTCATGTTCGTTCGTTTAGAAATCAAGTGTGTTCGTGTTCGTTTATGTTCGTTCGTTAACATGTTAAACGAACATAAATGAACGAACATAAACGAACGGGCTAAACGAACATAAATAAATATTATTTAAATTCAAAGTAAATAAATAAAAGATTATATATTATATTTAATATATAAATGAACATAAACGAACGAATATAAACGAACGGTAAATGAACGAACGTTCACGAACATAATTGAACGAACGATACTCTTGTTCATGTTCGTTTGTTTAACTAAACGGAAAAAAAAATTGTTCATGTTCGTTCATTTATTAAATAAACGAACATAAACAAATTTCCCGCCAAACGGTTCGCTGAACGTTCGGTTCGTTTACAGCTCTAACTGTTATAGAGTCAACATTAAATAAAAATACTCAAACTGAAGGAATTATGTAAGGTTACGACTTACGATTATGCATTTCTTGCATGTATGAACCCTACAACACGAGATAAGTACTGAAACGCTAAAAGTACTCAATTCAAAGCCAATCTTGTGTTGTATTTTGTCCTTGTTCTTTGTTATTTCGTTGTGACATGAAACCAAACAAATTTGGATGTCTCTTGATTGGATGGAACTGTTTGAGTAAGAGGATCTTCTATAATTTTTCATTTCAACAGCTACTAGACCCTTCGATTCACAGTAAATATCATATAAAAGATTAAACGCTTTATACGATGCATTGGAAATATGTGTAAATGGTCAAAAAAGATTATACCGATCGCTTTTACATCCTATTTATATGTTGAACACGTGGTGTTGTCTATGAGTTATTCCTACAGTAGCCTTTTGGGATGATCATATAAATAAAAGCAGGGAATCAAAGATCGGATCATCTATGCTATCATGAGTAAAAGACTTCAGGTGTGTTTTTGTCGGACGTTATCAATTACTGCATGCTATTCTCCTGCAAATGAGAGCTTTCACCCATTTAAATATATGTGAAGACGGACTGGAATGATATTTCCATAAATATCAAAGAATCCAAGTACAGTAACAAAGAATGACAATGAAGTTTCACAAATGTCCATTTTTGCCACTTACTCATTCGTTTAGTCATCAAACTTTAAAATACGTCTCGATGTTATGAAAGTAGGTCACATGTTTACCCTTCCCTGTTCTTCTAATAAAATTTCAACATGTGTAAATGTATGGGCTAATACATATGTAGGGATTGTTATGTAAATGTAGGGGTCGTTTACCTAAACACTTACCTGGTAAGCACTTGCTGGTAAAATTTAACACTACCGCTTACTTACCGGGCAATATTTTATTCACTGAAACGCATCGTATGCAACAATTTATCCCGGTAAGCGCTAACAACGGTAAGAGTCCTCGTCCTCACTTACCGGGTAAGACTCTCAATTCTTGTCTTCTTGGTATAATGTGAAGATATGTGAAACCCCTTAAATCTTTCTCAAAAAAAAATAGATGGGATACGTAAAAGCAACTCAATGTTAATGCTAATAACACAGTTTTCTAATTCCATATAACACAAGTATAAATGAATTTGAAATTTTTTGTGAACTGAAATATAGATTTATATTTGACAATTACAGGAGATAGGAAGAGAAAATGTGTGTGCAATAAGTTAAAGTGACATTTGGTTCGCAGATTCTGGAGGTATTTGAAGGAATTGGAATGTTGAATTCCTTTGATCAGATTCATTTCCTTCGTTTGGTTCATTCTTTTCAACGGAAGGAATCTTCATATTCCTATGAATTCCACGGGTAGAGGATTTTTACATTCCTTGGTATATAGATGATATTTTGATGGAATGGAATTTCTTATTTTCATAATACCCAGTATACACTCACCCCAAAATGCCCTAATCTAACAGAACACAATATACCTAATCTGATAAACCACAAGAAGTCAATACCATTTTCTCCAACTTCTCGATCTTTTGCTTCTCCATCGAGCACCAGCTCTCAACAGGTTTGATTTCTCCCTGCTCGATCTCTCTGCTTAACCGATTTTGTTTCTTAAGATTTCTCCTTGCTCCATGTTTCTGTTTGGGTTGGATATTTCTGTTTGTTGTTTGATCGACCAATATTTCTCCTTGCTTGACCAATATTTTTGCTTCTATCTATTAATATTCATTTATGTTGTTTGCTTGCTTCGGTGAATGGTCAAACAGAAACCAATTTCTGTTTTGTTTGCTACAAGACCAATTTCTCTCTCTGTTTGCTTGTTTGCTAAAAGACCAATTTCTGTTTCTGTTTGCTTCAAGACCAATTTCTGTTTGCTTTGTGACCAATTTCTCCCTGTTTGACCATTTGTTGTTTGCTTTTTTGCTTCAATATGGTGTCTTATTCTCAAAATACTAATTTATGAGAGTATGATTTATGGTTATGAGATTGTTTTTGCTAACTATCTTTTGTTTCGTCGTTGGTTCTGAACTTGCTAAAATGAATCTTACTTCAATGGAAAAGTTTACAGCACTGAGAAAAATAACATGTGAACCTGAATCGTTGTTAAGTTTTTGGAACTATGAAGGAGAAGCTCGAGAACGTTTGTGAGGTATATTTTGCAAGAATGACTGTGCTTGATGGTTTCACTCTTTTTTTAGAACTATGATGTTTAATGCTTTTGGAACATGTATTTGAACATACTTTGGTATTCCAGTGTCATATGTAGGATTGTTTAATAATAATGACATGTAAGTATTTTGAACACTTTTGATTGATTTTGGAACAATTTTATGTCAATTTATGAACGTCAATTGCTTTTTGTTTATATTTGGGTTATATACTTTATATTGTTTTACATATTAAAGTATTCAATCATTTTTTTATCAAAGTATTTTTAGTTTAAAAAATTCAAGTATTTATTAAAGTATTTTTAATTTAAAAAAATATAAGTAATTGTTAATTATTTCATTAAAGTAATTTTAGTTTAAAAAATATCAAAAAAGGCATTTTAATCATTTACCAGAATTTCTTTCCAATTTCAAAACTACATTTTGTTAAACAAACAGACATAATTTTAATCTTTTAAAAGATTTCATTCCAATTCTGTCAACCGAATAGATGATCAAACCTGACAGCAGTTCATTCCAATTCTTTCAAAATCAAATTTCTTTGACAAATACCATAAAAAATTCACTTTCGTTGTTCATAATAAATAATTAGAAGTGTGTAAGGGGTCGTTTACTAAACACTTACTTGGTAAATACTTAACGGATAAATTTTCTCATCGGATGAACATGAAAGGGGTCAAGAATCTTACCGTGTAAGAGCGATGAAAATGAGGGAAAGTCTTACCCGGTAAGTGAGGATGACAACTTTTACCCAGGTAAGCGATTACCTACTAAATTGTTGCATTCGATATGTTTTAATATATTAAAATTTTACGCATCAAAATAAATCATAGTGTTGACTTCTGTCGATAAACGTTTACCCAGTAAGCAATTGGGTAAATTACCGATAACTCTACTCTATCCCCTGGTTTACAACCGAAAACATACGAGGGCTACTTCTGCCATTAAAATTAAACCCAATTGAAAGGAAAGAAAAAAGTATTCCTTCCTTCACGAAGAAGCTCCCATGATATGGCTCAAATCAATCAATTCTCTCACTCTCTTCCTGTCTTGTCCACTCATTGGTGATCGTCCATGGCCGACCATACCCCACCACCCCTTCCCTCATCTATATCGCTGTTAAAATCATCGCCTCCAAAAGCCCCCAACTCACTTCTTTTTTCCCTCAAAAGCTTGAAGATTCAACTACAAGAGAAGGAAAAAGCTTTGGTTGCGTACCTGATTTTTCTTTTGAGGAATGAAATTGCCCTTTGCTTCACAGCAAAACAACCTATCTTCACCAGACGTAAAGCAGCAAATCATCGGTGCTGCTGCTGCTGCTGGTGCTGCTGCTGCTGCTGGTCGATACGAGCCTAAATCTGTGCTTGATATTTGCCGGAGTCCACCTGGTAAGACGTCGGAGTTCGATTGCGTTGATCGTAATAGCATTGTGTTATCATCATCGGAGGATCCGTTGCCGTTGGACAATTACGAACATGGAATCGTCACTCAGTTTGAAGAATGGGATTCTCTAATGAACGAATTAGGGCTTCATGATGATTCTGCAAAATCTGCTTTCTTGTCTGAACTTCCCGACCTCCCGCCGGTGCAACCGAAAGTGACTGCTCCGACTATGTCTCTTTTCTTACAATCCGATTTTGAGAACCCGAACCCTAACCCTAACCCTAACCCTAACCCTAACCCTAACCCGCTTGATTTCATGATCGACAACGGAAACGAGTTCGATTTCGTAGACGAGTTAATTCGGATCGCCGAGTGCTTTGAAACTCAGTCTCTTCAGCTGGCACAGGTGATATTGGCGCGGCTCAATCAGCGGCTTTGTTCACCAAACGGAAAAGCCCTCCAGCGAGCCGCGTTTTACTTCAAAGAAGCTCTTCAGCATCTGATCACCGGGTCAACTCGGCTGACTCAGTCTTCTTCCTCCTCTGAGATTGTACAAGCAATTAAAGCGTACAAAACGTTCTCCACTGTCTCGCCGATTCCGATGTTCTCTAACTTCACCGCCAATCAAGCGATCCTTGAAGCGGTTGACGGTGCGATGATAGTCCACGTCATCGATTTCGATATTGGAATCGGCGGTCATTGGGCTTCCTTCATGAAAGAGCTCGCCGAGAAAGCGGAGAATCGTAAGGTTAACTCGCCGGCGTTCAGAATCACCGCCGTCGTTCCGGAGGAGTACGTAACAGAATCGAGATTGATCAGAGACAATCTATTCCAGTTCGCTCTTGATCTAAAGCTAAGATTCGATATCGATTTCGTCTCCGTTCAAACTTTCGAGCACCTTTCGTTTAGAGCGATCAAGTTTATGGACGGAGAGATGATGGCTGTTCTATTGACTCCAACAATTTTCCGACGTATCGGCGCTGATTTCATCAAAGATCTTCGACAAATTTCTCCCAACGTAATCGTGCACGTCGATGGAGAAGGGTTGATGGGAGGCGGAACGTCGTTCTTCCGGCAGACGGTGATCGAGGGCTTAGAATTTTATTCAACGATTTTAGAATCACTGGAAGCTGCAAACGTTGGTATTGGAGTAGGAGGTGGAGATTGGTTAAGGAAGATTGAGATATTTGTGTTGCTGCCGAAGATAATAGCGGCGGTGGGGGCCGCCGGCCGCCATGTGACGCCGTGGAGGGAGGCGTTCAGTAGGGCGGGTATTCGACCGGTGGGACAGAGTCAGTTTGCTGACTTCCAAGCAGAGTGTTTACTGAGGAGGATTCAAGTCAGGGGATTCCACGTGGCGAAGCGACAAGGAGAGATGGTGCTTTGCTGGCACGATAGGCCACTCGTTGCCACGTCAGCCTGGAGGTGTTAGCCAATTAATAAAATATATAATTTTAAATAATAAAAATTGGAATCCTTTTTTCACATTTATATTTACCTTTATAATGTAAAACCAGGCAAAATAATAGAATATATCTTTCCGACCATAAAATGGTCGAGAAACTATTTTCGTATTTTTCTTTTTTTTTTTATATTATGATTTTATGTTGTTTTTGTTAGTTATATTTTATCTGTAATTTTAACCTTATTTATTTTATTTTAAATAATACAACTGAGAAATCATTAATACAGTGGTTGGTTATAACATATATGTATCACATATGTTAAATTACAAAATTTTAGTTTCGATGTTTTGGATATAAGAAGAAAGACAGTTTTATTTACCTATCTATGTTATCAACTACACTGCCCTTTGTGAGAAAAAAAAATATATGATATATTTGAGCAAAAAGTTGATTACCGACAACCCTAAACGATCTCACCTCCAAGGACACCACTCATTCATCAGATAAGACTAGTGGGAGGGTTTGGGATCAAACTCATGACCTGTCTTATATTTGGATAAAGTTGCACCATTTTTTTACCAACTGAGTTACACGTCAAAGACAATTATTTGTTATAATTATCTAATATTTGTATGTGAGATGAAGGTACACATTCGTTCTATTATCGAGACGAGCACAACTATGTGTATGCAAGACATAAAATAATATAGTTTTCTTTTTATATGCAATGAAAAATGCTATTTTGACTTTTGTTATAAACCCGTAAAAGGTCTATTAGAAAGACTTGATATGTACTTTCACATATAAAAGAAGATTCACATTTTTAACATAAAAATAGAATACATAAAGCAACTATAATATAAAATTACAGTTTTAGAAGACCATAAATTCATATCTTTATAAAAAGTAAATTACGTAAAGTAAATTACGTTTTTAGTCTCTGTGATATGTTAAAAACCGTAGATTTAGTCATCATGGTTTTGAGATTACGGGTTTATTCCCTATGGTTTGTAATTCATTTTATTTTCGTTGACGAAGCTAAACACTGTTTTTAAGTATTAGGGACTAAAATAGAAAGAAATTGTAACCATATGGACAAAAAACAATGAAGTTTAAACTTTAAGGACTAAAACGGTAATCGGTTGTATATTATAGGAATAAAAATCATAATTTCAAAATGGACGAAAATTAAAATTTTAGAAAATCATAGGAGCTAAAAACGTAATTTGCTCTTATAAGATGCATCAGGATAACAACGTTTCTAAATTAGACATAATTATGAAATTTCATCTTTTGGCTTGGGTTCATGTGAAACCAGTTTGTCTATGTTAGACTATATTTTTACATTTGAAACTTCACAGGAAAACACTGTTAAGGTAAAAAGAAAGTCGAACCTTCACAGCAAAAACACTGTGAAGGTTACATTCACAACGTTTTACTGTGAAGTTTCAAGTGTAAAAAAATGGTCTCACGAGACTTACGAAAACAGGCTGATCCACGTGATTCCGAGTCTTCACCCTCCCAAATTAAATGTCTGGATTACTATTTCAAATCATCTTTCAACTCAATCATTAAAAATATATTAAAATCAATAAAATTGATAGAGTCATTCTCCTCTTAATTCTAAAATGGAAACAATTTTTCTCTCTGTAATTATGAGAAAAATTGTTCTTTTCCAATTAAAAAGTTTACTAATTACATACTTGTCGGGCAATAGATTGAGAAAATAAACATCGGTTCTTTCTATTATTCACTTCATCTTGAAATAAATGTCCACAATGAAAAATGCATATGGTTTTCGGTAATAATTTTTAATTAATTAAAAATTATTATTCTTAATAATAGAAAGATCGATCTTCTTAAGGGCTGTTTACTTACCCCTTATTAGCCTCTTACCCAACAAGAACCACTTATCCCATTAAGAGGTATGTTGTTTACTTATTCACTTTTTCAATAAGCACAACTGACCACTCCTCTTTCCAGAAAACATTCGGTTAGCAACAAAGTTTATGTTGATCACGATCAGCGTATCTTCTCCTTGATTTCTTCCGATTTTATCCTCATCGCTCACTATTTCTATCGTCTTCCTCACATCATCAGATCATCGCTCCCCTTAATTGTTCTGCCTAAAGTAATCGACCTCACCTTCTTCCGATTTCATCTGTTGTTGTTGTCAGTCGGATTATGTCAAATTCAGGTACGATTTTCTTTATCGATTCAATGATACACATGTTGAAACACATATTTCATTCTATTGGGTCGAATTTCTTTGAAGATGTTCATAGTTCCAGTCAAACAATCTACTGGATCGAATATAGGGTTATATAAAACCATGAAGTTTAGTTGAAGCCTTGAAGGAAATAGTTAGGAAACAACCCCTTTGCTTGTGTCTACTGTAAGGAGATTATAAGTCTAATCTTGGTCATCTTGGTCATCTTGTAGTCTGCAATGGTTCCCATAGGCTGGTATATGGTGCTGGATTATGAGTTCATTGTGGCTTAAAATTTGTTCGTGTGTGTCTTTTGGTTCTATATTGTTTCATTAGCTTTTGTTCATATTGTCCTCTTTTAGGTCGATTGTGCAGGGATTAATTGGGGGTTCACCAAACCTCAACAAATTGAGTTATGGTGATTTAGATAGGGTTATATAAAACCATGAACTTGTTAAATTGATCAATCAACCATAACAAATGACTCTTTAAAGTAAAAATTAAAAAAAAAACACAATGGTAGCATTAACAAACCCAGAATGTTTAGAAGCACCAAGGTGAGCTTGAAAGAAAATAGAAAAAAGAACATGAGTTTTCATCTCTGAATGTTTATAAACAGTAACAAAATTTCGAAGAATATGGAATTGAAAGCGTAGGTGGGGTTGGTAATCACAGACACTGGTCTAAATCTCTTCATCTCCCATGTTCAGAAGTATTAGAGATAAATCTTTGCTGTCATTTCAACAATTATTCATATATAATATTCGGTAAATAGTTGCATTAATTTCAACACTTTGTTACATATAGGGTTATAATGGTTATTTTATTATTAAACAGCACCAAATCCAAAATACTTGGTAAACAGATTTTCTACAAACAACACTTACTCTAATCAGACCTCTTATTTCAGACAGCGCTTAACAGCTATTGTTGGTAAACGGCCCTTTAATCTCGTAATTAAAGATAGAATGGAAATGAAAACAGTTATTTTTTAAACTGAATACTTATTTTAAAATAAATTAAATTAAAAATAGGAATACTTGTTTTGAGACAGATAAAGTAGTAATCATAAGTCGCAAGCAACCCGTCATACCCATATTAGAAATCCAACATGAGACATGAGTGCGTTTATCGCTTCAACAATAATAACTTTTTTAAATTACGTGTCAACCAAAATGATGTAGATTTAATATAACAGAAAAACAATTATCCAGCTAATTTAAATGCAGATCTAAAAAGACCAAATGCACCCTCTACCATGCCAATACGTTGGATCTTTTTTTGGTCTCGAAAGCGTGATTAGCTTAAATCAATGTCTGTTTATTTAAGTTAGAGAGTAAAAACAAATTTGGTCTTTGTGGTTTGTCAGAAATAACATTTTTCGTCGCTGTAGTTTTAAAATTATAAGATGATCATCGTGTTTTTTCAAAAATGTTTGCATTTGATCCTTCATCTAAAGGCTGTTAAAAGATTTTGCAAATTTGTAATGAATTTTTGTTCTTTTATTGATTGTTTTGTCTTTTACTCGATCAAAATCGATTCTTCGATTTTGATCAATGGCTTTTTAGATAAAAGGATGAAAATATCCCTTATTTAACAGAATCTTTTGATGATTATTCGAGGGAGGGACCAAATCCAAACGTTTTTACAAACCATGATAATTATCTTATAATTTCAAAATTACAAAGATGAAAAGGATTATTTTTAACAAACCACATAGACCAATTTACTCTAAGTTATTAACAATGAGAGGTTGTTTGTTTACCTCTTAATAGTTTCATTAAGAGAGTATTTGAATCGTTAAAAGGTGCATGAAAAAAAAAATCAGCCTCTTATTGATTCTAAAACCCTCTGAATGATTTTGTATCATGTGTCTCCCTTAACCATTCAGCGCCCTAATTTCATTGTAAATAATTATCAAACAATTATATTTTATTTTACACTATATTATAAAAGCATCTTAATCATTCTGACTACTTATTCATTATGTACTAAATCATTTAACAACTGAGAAACAACCCCTAAATATTGCAAGTTCATTTTCTTTTTTTTTAGTAACAATGGCAAAAGAAAACTCAATTGTTTAGAAAAATCACTTGTTTGTCCTTTTTTTAAGGGGTATTTTTTAATAATTAAATTTTGTTTATCTTATATTATGTTAATTAGAGTAAACTACATTTTTAGTCCCTGTGGTTTACTAAAAGTTGCAACTTTCATTCCTATGCTTACGAAGTTATGATTGTTGTCCATGTGGTCTGTAACTATTTGCTGTTTCCGTCCTCATAGTTAACTCCGTCAGTGGTTTACAGTTAAGTATAAGGAACGAAAACAACAATAAATTGTAAAGCATAAAAACAAAAACAACAATGAACTATAAACCACAAGAACGAAAATCGTAATTTTAAAAACATAAGAACGAAAAATAGCAATTTTCAAAACAAAAGGCATTTACCAAATGGTTATCGGATAAGCGCTTATTGGCAAGAGTGGACCACTCTCGTTTACCTTATGGGTAATGTTCCCGGCCATCAAAATAGATTAATGGTAAGCGTTTCCGGCATGCGCTAACCGGCTAACTGGGTAAGAGTCATCACCCTCACTTACCGGGTAAGAAGACTCTTGATCCTTATCTTCCCTCCTATCAAGTAAAATTTTCGGTCCTTGTTATATTCACCTGGTAAAGCAAGTGAACCAGTAACCGCTTACCCAGTTAAAAGTGCTTAGCAAACGGGCCCGAAAGTAAGATTTCAATAGATTTATCCACCAAAAGGGAAAGGAATAAAATAAAATCAAATAAACATTTATAAAAAAGACAACATTCAAATTTCAACCACATAACTCAATATTTACCTCCAATTCTACAACAAGCAGAGGTCTTTGTATATTTAAAGTAAGGAAAGACATGAAAACAGTTGCACTGGGTAAGTAAAGAGTTACAAGTATGTGAAAAAAGAAAACACAGAATAGGTGAGCCACAACAACATTCTGAGTTCCTGTGACCGATCGATCCTAAACCCAAAACTCGAAAAAGACTTTGTCCTAATTTTATAACACTTTTTAAAAATTAATCACTAACTTGTTTCGCTATTATTGCATTTCTTAACTGTTACCTTCGTCTGCACGAGATTGAAGATGTGCATCGAGTTTCGACACTGCCTCGGGCCCACAAAACCTAGTTAAGTCATCCTGTTTGACCAAACATTCAAACCCGAAAGAGATTGTTGTTATTTTTTCGTTCATATTGGAGGGCAAAAGAGGGAGAGAGAGGAGTTGGTGTAAACCTTTATCGAATTATTTTCAGCAGTAAGCTTCTCGCATTCCTCCGACAGCCTTTGCAGCTCATCTCTGAGTGAATGATTCTCGTTGCTTAGTGCCTCTACTCTTGCCTGTAGCTCTTCACACTCGGCCTGGTGAAAATATTTGTTGATTAGTAGAATAAAGATAAACGTCCCTCCGTCTATTATGTCCGCTTTCTGGTTTCTAATGAGAATTTTATACTTGTTAATCAACTAAATGACAATTTTACCCTTAATAATCGAGTAATGGATCTCAGAATTAAGGATATACTAGAAAAGTAGACACTTTTGAAAATGGACATTTATATTGAAACAAATTAAAATAGAAACGTGGATGGTTACTTTGGGACAAATGGAATATTAGTGAACAGTGAAGATATTTCAGATGTTCCGACTCACTGAGGATGGAAATCAACAAGACAATCGAAAGCTAATTAGCAAGCTCGAGCTTACACCCAGCCATCTCGTTTGACTATGTTAGCTGAGGTCGACAGCTAAACGAGTTTAAACTATAAAAAACCACTAATCTTTAGTTTTTGGAGATTTTTAAGGGGAGTTTATTTGCAATGTTATTAAAAAATGGTTTATACAAAACAAACCCTATACAGGCTCAGCTGACAAAGGCTTGAGCTTTTGGTCAACTAAGATTTGAGTTCGCCTATCTCGACAAGCCATGACCCAAACCCAATCCTACCAAAAACTTCACAAACCAAGCAAGACCAGGCTCATCTTTTGCTCAAAAACACCAATAGGGTGCATTTGGTATTCAAACGGGATTGGACATGAGTGAACGGCACATGACAGGAAGAGCGAGAGTGAGGTAGGAAAGTGAAAGAATTGTGTAAGGTTTTAGGGGTTTTAATGTGAGATGGGTAGTCCAGTCTTTTATCTATCTGTCCCATCTCCCTGATTTTTGTTCCACCTATTTGTCTTGTACCACTTAGGCTTGTCTTGTCCAAGTCTAATATCATGTCAAACACGAGACAATAAGTTTTCTTTCTGCCATGGTCTGTCCCATCTATCCTTAGTAACAAATGCAGCCTTAATGACAACCAGTTTAGGTTCCCGTTTGATGATGTCAACTTCAAGAACAACCTGATATGTTATCTTTTCCTTGTATAATGGGTTGATAAAACTAGGAGTGTGGATTACATCCTTGCATATGTTTTCCTTCAACTCTAATTTCTCACATTATTTTTTATACTATTCTTCCAAAAGAGTAAGCAGTATTTTTGAAGGATTTTCTATGGGTTCAAAGCCAATACATGCAAGACTTCTTCTAAACAGGAATCAATTTCACGATCTCTTTTTTCAATTTTCTTGATAGAGTATCCTACCTTTGATATGTATAGCATCGTTTGTTGAACCTAACGAGCAGACTACTACAATTTCTAATGTGCATGGCAAATTTTAACCAACGGCACTTTTACCACCATCTGAAAATTTCATTATTTCAAATAAACGCCTCTGCAAAAGATTTAGTGGTTAGTCAAACGGTGTATTCAACTAACAAGTGAAAGAAGTAGAATTTCTATCTGTTTGGAAATACAAGCACAAATCCGTCCAAGGAAAACCATTAACACCTGTTTTCCAATGATCTATCACCCTATTTATTAAGTGTGTTTGGTACGTGGACCGGACTGGACTAGCGAGAGTGAGGTAAGCTTGTGAAAAAATTTTGTTAGGGTTTTAATTTGACATGGAAAGTTTGTAATTCAGCAAGCTTGTCCGTCTCCCTGATTTTTGTTACACGTATTTTGATGGGACAAAAAAATGCATTTTTGTCCACTCAGTCTTGTCTGGTCCGGTATAATTGTCGCACCAAACGTGGCACAAGAAGTTTTTGTTTTGTCATGTTCGGTCCTGCACACCAAGCGCACCCTAAATGTCCTTACATAATGGAATCTATGCATCATGCAGTTGAAATGGCTTGAGATCATAAAATAGAAGGCTGCAGGTCAGGGAGCCACTTTGTGCCAACGATTCCAAAGCAATACTATTCTTTAGCTCATGATGGCTTATTAATCGTTCTCCATACATACAGAGGAGTAGCTAAGTATGCAGTTGAGGCTATAAGATACATATCGAAGAAAAAGTGTTGTAATACCTGCTTGCGCAACCTTGATCTCCTAGCTGACTCTCGATTAGACTGCTTCCTCTTTTGTCTCTTCAGTTCACGCTCATCCTGCTGAGATGATACTTGCATCAGTTATAGTTCATATATATATATATATATATATGATGTGTTGGAAAGTTATTCGAGAACTGAAATGGCAATTGACCAAATTGATGAAATCTATCCCAGGAGAAAAGAACCAAGAGTCAAGACACAAGGGCCAATAAGTTGCACCAGCAAGATTTATACATTAACCCTTTACCCCTATGCTAGAGGAGAATTCTTCCTTATTTTTTGAGTAGTTTGAACACAATATTGAAAAGCGTATGGAAAACATAATGTAAAGCAACCCCATATCATTATTGTCCATAATATTACTTCCTTCGTCCTAAAATAAGTGTCCATATTTCTATTTTAGTTGGTCCCAAAATAAGTGTCCACTTTCAAAAGTGTCTACTTTCCAATTCTACCCTTAATTAAGAGATGGAGAAATTCATTAATCCCTTCATATTATTAAGGGTAAAATTGTCATTTAGTTGATGACAAAGTGTAATAGTTACACATTTCTAAAACTGTGCCTTTTTCATTGTGAACATTTTTTTTGGGAGGACGGAGTAAAACGAACAAAGAAACTAGTCAAAAATGGAAGCAGCGTGATTGAAGATCCAAATTGAGTCATTCATGCAAGCAAACTTATAATTTACAATCACTCCTCGTCTCCTAAATATATCTCGACTTAGGGGCCATCTACCAAATGTGTAAGAGCGAGCCAAGGACCGAGTGTCTTACCCGGTAAGTGAGAGCAATGACTCTTACCACAGTTAGCACTTACCGGATAAACTGTTGCATGTGATGTCGTTTTTGTTGACCAAAATCTTACCCGGTAAGTAAATGATTGTGTAGAATTTTATCGGTAAGTGCTTACCAGGTAATTGTTTGGTAAACGGCCCCTTAATTTCATCTGCAACTACATCATGCATCAGCTCTTAAACACTTCGGAAATTAGTTAATTATGAGAGTTTATGCTTGGTCATGCGAGGACCCTGACTCAGCATTGGTAATTAAGGGGATCCAAAAACACCATAAGAAAATCAGACACCAACAAGGATGGCATATCCACAAGACGAAAACCTATTAAAGAACTTTATTCAATCATACCTGAACCCACTGATCAGGCATCATTCCTTCCCGTCCCGTCATTGGTGGTGGCACTGCTGTTCGAGACACACCAGAAGGATTTGATCGAATTTTCATAGTTCCACTTCCAGTAGATGGATTCCACAAGTCCATCCCCATATTAAGATTGGTACCAGGCATAGAAACTAAAGGGTTCCCAGGTACTGACGTCTGAATATTGGCCCCAGAATTGTTATTCTGTGCATTGGCTGAAGATAATTGAAGATTATGATTTTATAACAACAACTCACGTAAACAGAGATAGAAAAGAACAAAAGATTAAAATATGCAGAATTACCATCTGCAAGCATTTGATTGAAGCTTCCTTTCTTGCCTCCAGAGTATTCCTGAAAGAATTAATTCAACATGTCAATACATACAGAAATAGAACATACTTACTGCTTCCTCCTTAATAAGACATTAAAAGTTAATAACCAAAACAGAAGAAAAAACTCAGACTAACAAGATGAAATGGCATGCAGTTTCACACATGACTAGAGAAAGAAAGCATGTTTAACATTTATATCTGACACAAAAAACATACATGTTGGACCAAAGGGCCTTTGGCCTAGCGGTATGTGAGTCCTTGGCTTTCTAGGAGGTCAAGGGTTCAAACCTCACCAAAGGTGAGGAGGGTGTGTGAGTTTATTTGTTCTATTTGCCGTATATAAATATTATATACTTCAAAAAAAAACATACATGTTGGTCATTTTCTTCACTTCCATCTGATGAACCATCACTTCCGCTTTCAGCGCTGTTCAGTTAAAAAATTACAATCAGCAAGGCACAATCTGAATCTACGATGAAAACAAGGGTCTCTGTGCATTGTAATTTGTAACAAATGGGAAAGAATGACATCATAAATCAAATTGAAGAAATGTAAATGCTGAAATCAATTCTATAACTAAAAACCTTTGGGTGGCACCATCATTCCCTGAACTTGATGCTGCCTTCCCACTCTCTCCAGTTCTAACACCAACAGCATTGCCATTTCCTGAAGTTCCCTTGGACTTCTTATTTGCAGCCCTTTCCTTGCCTTCGTAGGCCTTCGCTTCCATTTCTGCATTTGGTGGTGCAGTACTTGGTGTCTGCAAGGATAATAATAAGAAGAGAGAACTTAATATATATTTACACACATTTATATCTATCTTTACATACAAACACACGCAAACATGCGCAAACACACACACATATGTGTGTGTATATATATAAGTAGTCTGTTCTAAGGAAGGCCATAGCTAAGTTTGGCTATAAAATGGAAATCAAATCTACATACTTCAAATTTTCTTCTCTCTTATTGTGCATCAATCAAACCCCAAGAATCATTACCATTTTTAGTAGTCAACAAATTTAGATGCAAAAGGTATGATTAAATTGTATTTTCTAAAATTAAGATTAATTTTCCCCTTTTTGTACATCAATATAAAATCCATTTTTTCTGTTCATGTATTGTTAATATATCAAGCAACCACACATATCAGCATTCTTTATAAGATTTTAGTGAGCACCTATTATTTGAAAAAAAAAAAAACATTTTATGCAACTCTATAAGGATTATGCAATAAATGAAATTGACGGTCAGCAAAATAAATATTGGGAAGATTTCATCTGCCAAACAACCACATACATCAACATCTTCCTTTAGATTATAGTGAACACCTATAATTAAGAAAAAATTAATAATTGTTTGTGATCAAATTATGAAATAAAGAATTGACAATCAAGATAATAATGGGAACAATAGGCAAAACCGAACATGACCTCAGATAGGAGTGTGTGTAGACGTAAGACTGGGGTAGCAAATTGTGCTTAAGGACTCGTGGCTAATGGGGCCAGGGGAGGAGGCTTGGAGAGGTGGAGGATGAAATGGAAGAGGGTTAAAGAATCAACTCTTACAAACTTCATTTCTTTCACTTCATTATTTTATCTCTTTTTTGTTCTTTCAAAATTTTGTCGAACTTTCAGACCCAGAAGTTCTTCACAAAAGGTTTTTCACAAACATTTTTGCAAGTCAAGGTATTCATGGAAACAACCTGTCTACTCAGCAAGGTAAGGGTAAGGTCTGCTTACATCTTACCCTTTCTAGACGATACTCCGTGTGGAATTTACTCGGCTCTTCTGGTTTGGGTTGGGCATGACCGAAACAAAAATAACATATTAACATGCACTTTTGGGAGGAAAGACTAATAAAAATGAACATTGGCTTGTTTTTCCATATAATGATTTAAGAATCAGCATAATAAAAATCAAAATTCAATAAGCTGAACGTATGAATCATACTTATAGAATACCTGCTTTTAGAAGAGAAGAAATCTTCTAGAAAATACTAGTCTATAAGTTCTTTAAAGTAAAATTACATAACTTTAAAGTTATTTGATCAAAACCACAGTTTAGAACAGCGATTTGTAGCCAAGCTTAGATAAGGCTTGCCTTGGAATAGATTTTCCCACGTATATATTTTTGTGTATGCATCTCTACATATGAATGTATAACATACATATATGTATTAATGCATCTATATATAGTCATGTAGATAGATGTGTGTGTACATATATGCATTGTATACATGTCTGTGTGTGTATCTATCTATATATGTCCGTATGCATGTATATATGCATATATGATATGATATGTTTATCTATGTATTTACATACCGGCACACACACATAGATCTACAGTATTAATATTTATATCTGTGTATAGATGTATAGACGTATGTATACATGTTAGGGTGTGTGCACCAAAGGGCTAAAGGAAATACAGATTAGCAGGTGACTTGGATCCACCTATGGTATTTTCCAAGAGGACAATCATACCCTGCTGTACCATTTCCACGTATCTTTAACGTAGTGATGCAACTTTAATAACATAAAAGGAAAAAAAGAAAATTGTGATTACCATAGGCATACTAGGATGAGCATAAACTCCTGCTGGTGGATATAGAGCAGGGTATGGAACCGGAGTCCCATATGGTGACATCATAGGATGCTGAAATAATTCACACAAAAGGATAATCAAAGACTTGTCAGTTAGCATTTGCAGCACGAATCTCATAAATCTTTCAATTTAGCATGCAAGTTCACATGGTCACCTGGCCTCCCCATATGTAGGGATGAGGAGTCGGAGAAGCAACAGTTGAGGCAAAAAAGGGTGGAGTACCTCCAGCATTATAATAAGCCTAGACATGAAAGTTGTTAACTAAGATGAGGATCTATCTCAACATTCACTCTCATATGTAACAAGAAATTTAAACCAAATGTATAATACCACACCTGCATTGAGTTTGACCAATCGGCATATGAGGGTGGAGGTGCTTCCTGCGAATAAGAAGTAAGATGACTTTCAAGATACAAGCACAATACATTATATCATGCACAAAAGAAAGAGAGAGAAACCTGAGTTGAAGCAGGTTTGGAATGCTTAGCAGGTGAGCTCTCTTCCCCGGCCCCCATGAAATCTACAGGGAAAACTCAGTACGCAGCCTAAAAGGTTTAGTGTCTGCAAGTTAGACTTCTGTGTATCTTGAAATATAATCAAACAAGCACCTGTAGACATTAAATATAGTGCATGTTACCTACTGATGAACATAGGTGTCTCACATTAATTGGTTGACCAACAATATCTTGACCCTTAACTACCAGAGCGTTATACATTTTGCCTGGCCGAAAAGCTACATCTAGTAGTTATTATGTCAAAGATAATCAATTGCCACACTAAAACCATGATATCTTCATTTCTAAGTTCTAGTGTTTACCAATATTGACAGCATTAGACTAACATGGTCCTGTAATTAGGAGTAAATCTAAGAATAAATTACAAGTAAATATAATAATACAAACCTCGTAAAATTTTATACTCCTTTCGACATACGACCTCAAACTATATTGTAGTTCATTAGATGTTTTTCCGAAAGTATCCCTTCCTTCAATTTAAGCCTATTCTAGTAACACTTTATCTTCCAATTCATCTAGATGTAGTCATGATATAGGGTAGCACATATGATATCCTGCTCTTAAAAATATCTATGCTGACTATCAGCCTAAAGTGTTGAATGCTATCCTACGTAATTGTTTATTTCATCTTTCAAAGCCATTTACGCATGTTATAAGGATTTTGAAAGTCTAGCAATGTCAATGGAGGGGTTGAGGATGACAAAATGTCTGGAGCATGTCCCCAAAAGATGTGCCTAAACATGATATAGGAGAGGTTGATGAGTTCTTATAGGACAAGTGCAAGGTGATTGAAATGACACCATGCATCAGGATAGTTATGAGACCATAAAATTAGAAGGAAAAAACGTATAAGGTAAGTTATATAGGAGGAATGTGAAACTCTTGAAGGGTTTAAATGTTAAGCCACCTTCATGTAGCCAAAAGCTGAAAGATAGGACAGCCAGAAGGATAGTATTATGAAATAAGAGATGTGAGAGTTTCAGTTGGCTTAGGAGAAATGAAGAAATGTTGAAAATTATGTAAATGAATCAACGGTGAGTAAAACGAGCTATTCATGATAACCAAGCAAGAAGTAAGAGACTTCATAAGCAGTACCGCAGACTTTAGACATCATATTAAAGCGAATAGACCATTTTAATCTATCGTGTTCAATATACTATTACACATCTTTCTCTTACAAATGAACACAAAAAATCAATTAACTGAGAAGTGATGCATGTTTGGCTCAAACCTGAACTCCGATATCATCATCTCATAAAAACAGAGACGAAAGGAAATTTACAAATACAAACCATACCCTCTATATATCAGGCTTAACAACCAAAGCCCTCCACTAAATCAAGTAGACCTCAACCTCTCCTCCTTTTGGATCAATGCAAATTCAAATATGGGCCATAGAAAATATTAGACACGGATCAAAATAAGAGAAACACGCAACATTTAGTGGTTTTATCAAATGAGGAAGTGCAGGCTTCATATTACTTCTGATTCAAACTTTAACTGCAGAATTATTTGCATGTTGTTAAAAAAGACTATCAAAAACACCCACTAACAATCATGTTGCTATTAGGGCAGTTTGCAACTTTGCATGAAGATGACAATATACAAGAATGGTTATATTTTTCTATTTTTGGGGTGCATGCCTAAGATGGAGGAGGCAGTTTACATATGTGCTATGATGGACATACTAATTGTCACCATGCCATCACTAGTACAAAGACATAACAGAAAACAAAAGAAAACAAGCATAAGCATTACAAAAAACAAACAAATACTTGTGAATTGTAATAAGAATTAACAGATTCAAGGAATGGAACAAAAAGAAGAGGGGCCACATTGTTTTAAGAACAGACCTTTTCATGATATGCTAACTAAATTCTACACACAAAATGGACAATAGTAAACGTTAATATATTGGTATTTTTCCTTTTTTTCCCTTGGTTTACAACATAGACATCGTTAGCATTAGTAATTGATAATTTGATATGACGTAACTAAATGGATTGTGTAGAACATGGAAGGTTGTTTTAGTCTTCATAGACTATGACAGTTAAGATGAAGCATGATTTTCAATTTTTCCATCCCCTGCGCCACTAATGATATATTTAACAAGGTTTTGCCCATTCCTCTTAACATCTTGAGCAACATCAATTTGGGACGATGTGGACTTATGCATTTCTAATAATTTATTTGTCTCACATGTCTTTCATGAAAATCCTCATTACATCGTGAATTAAAATAGACCCAACATAAATCTTTTGGCTCATTTGGGATTAAGGTAATTGGCTAGTACAACCGAGAAATGCTTCTGCAGACACAGTTGTAAGCTGGTCATTATTAGATTCCAAAAAAAAAGATGTGTTAATTAAAACGTCAAGAATAATCTCAAGTTACCATCATGGTGTTTGTATTTGTGTAGGAGATGAAAGACGGTAATTGCATAAATAATAGCTTTATAATGATCATATAAATGAATTTGTAATCAACATCTAGTCAAGGAATTTAATTTATGATTCACTACCATCAGTCACTAAACAAGTGCATCACATGGTTGAAACCTTTATTCTGCATTCCTAGGTAACAATCATATATTTGCTTTATCTCTTAACAAATATGGGAATCATTAATTCATCCATTAGTGCCTGTCTTATGCTTTTTTTGACACACCCCTAGCAAACACAATTAAGCTTCCTTTACCACCATTTTCTTCCATCAAGTATACAGCCTTCCCTCTCAGATTGAATAATTCCTTCACCGAAACATTTTTTTAACTGTTCTATGTACCCTTTTAAACTCTTTTCCATAAAGTGGAAAAACGAAATATTTACATAAAAAGACATGTTTCATTCTTTCTTTATCTCAATGCTACCCATGTCCAATAAGAGCCCACCCTACTTACAGTCACAACCTCCGCCATGAAACGCCTAAGCAAATTACAAAAACTACACAACAGTTAGTCTCGACAATTCAATTAAAACCCCCATAAATATCAGATCTGGCTCCGCAATTTGAACAATTATTCACCAAATCACCATATAGCGTAAAAGTTCGAAATTATCTATTTATTTCTGCCAAGATACATAATTACTCGCATACTAATTAGGATGTGTGTGTCAGCGTGCGAATATAGAGGAAACTAAAATGTAGAGAGAGGAGAGAGACTAACTTGTTCGGCTGTCCGCTTCGGAAGGGACGAGGATGAGGTGGAGGATGCTAGTTCTACTAAGACCGACACCAATTTCTAAGACTACGGGAGAAATTGAAATAGATTAATCCCAGATAAAGTAGGGTTCTTTCTTCTGGTTTACTTTCCAACAACTATTCGCTATTGCCCAAAAAACTAACAATTTTGAAATTCAAAAGTAGCTAAGAAGGAGGAAGGTCGTTCACATGCTTACAATTGATGCCGTGAGTAAGGCGGAGGTGGAGGTGGAGGTGGCGGTGGCGGAGGGGGGAGACCACCGTGAGAAAATGGTGGTGAAGTGGTTCGGGAGGGAGTAGGGTTAGAGGGATGACATGTGAGGGTGAGGAAGGATCCAGATGTTAAAGAGGGAGTGGATAGACCGCATGACGAGGCAAAAACGTTTTGTTGATGACTCGGTAACTATTAAACCGGATAATTTATTTTAAAGATTTATATATTTTTGTAGAATTGGATTCAGGACAGAAGTGAGAAGTATAAGAATAAAATTTCATCCTTAAATGTATATTAGGATATGATATATTGGATCAATCCTTATATCAAACATGATTTATAAGTGGATTTGAGATTAAAAGTGATCAATGGTCTAAACATTTTCTTTTGTTTCTAACTTTAACTTTCATTCTCATACGATTATTTGTCTGTTACCGTAATATTATATATGGGTTAGATTCAGGTGAGAATGTAAGTTGTAGTGAGAAGGGTGAGAAAGGATTTATACTCTTAGATTAATCCTAATTGAAACACTAATACGATGCACCGAGATTCATCCTATCAATTCTCGTGATAAACATAATCATAAGTGGTGGTGAGATAAAAAGTGATCAAAGATCCAGATCTTTTTTTATGCTTCTCATTATAACTTTTATTTTCACACGATCTTTCATATATATATATATATATATATATATATCTATACTATATTATAAATTATTTGACAAAAACTTTTAAAAACAAATTTTTATGCATAAAGTACCGTTTATTGATGCATATTACTTAAAATTCAAGATTACAAGTAATTTTGCGTAAGTACAACTTATTAAAGCTCCATTTTTAAATCCGTATAACTAACTACTGATAGACATAATTAAATACAAGATAAACATTCATTTTAGATATAGAAAATCAAAAATATAATTAAGATAATTATTGAGTTTTAACAGATTGTTTAATAATTATCTTTATAAAAAATTATATTGTTAAACTAAAAAAATTACATTGTTATTAAATCTAAATTAAATTATAATAAAAAACGAATTAGAGAAGTTACACCAAAAAAACAAGATATTTATATTATATTATAAAGCATTTGACAAAAACTCTTAAAAAACACTTTTTATGCGTAGAGTATTGTTTATTAATGCATATTACTTAAAACTTACGATTGCAAGTAGATTGTGCGTAAGTACAACTTATTAAAGCTTCATATCTAATTTGTGTAACTAACTGCAAATAAACATAATCAAATACAGGATAAACATCTCATTTTAAATATAAAAAATCTAAAATATAATTAGGATAAATATTGAGTTCTAACAGAATACTTAATTATTATCTTTATAAAATGTTATATTATCAAACCAAAAATAAATTATTTCGTTATTAAACATAAATTAAATTATAATAAAAAAATAAATTTAAAAATTACATAAAATCTATACTATATTATAAAACATTTGACAAAAACTCTTAAAAACCTCTTTTTATGCGTAGAGTACTGTTTATTAATGCATATTACTTAAAACTCAAGATTGCAAGTAGATTGTGCGTAAGTACAACTTATTAAAGCTTCATATCTGAATTCGTGTAACTAACTGCAGATAAACATAATCAAATACAGGATAAACATCTCATTTTAAATATAAAAAATCTAAAATATAATTATGATAATCATTGAGTTCTAACAGAATACTTAATTATTATCTTTATAAAATGTTATATATTTAAACTAAAAATAAATTATTTTGTTATTAAACTTAAATTAAATTATAATAAAAAAATAAATTAAAGAAATTACGTAAAAATTGGGAACTTTTAAATAGTTGATTTGATATTAACATTGACATTTATTTTTTCAAAATTTTATGATATCTTCAAATTTATATTTTATTTAAAAATAAAATCATTATTTTCTTTATTAAACTTAAATTAAATTATAATAAAAAAAATAAAAAAATTACATAAAAAATGAGAACTTTTAAATAGTTGATTTGATATTAACATTGATATTTATTTTTTTCAAATTTTTATGATATCTTCAAATTTATATTTTATTCAAAAATAAAATTATTATTGTTTTCTTAAAATCACATAAAATCATATTATAACATTGACAGAGACAAATAATAAAATAGAACATTAAAATCGAGATGTGTCTCGCTGCATTGCACGAGTACTCTTCTAATATATATATATATATATATATATAGATATATATATAGATATATATATATATATATATATATAAATATAAACGTGGACACTGACTTAGGCCCTCCATTTTATTTGATCTAATAACTCACTTAAATATAGTTTTTAATTAAAATTATTAATTAAGATTATMAGAGGTAAAAAAGAAATTTAATTTCAATCTAGGCCTACTCTTTTTGACTCTTTATTTTCTTTTTTAATTAAAAAAATTTACCTCCTCAAAAGTTTAAAATTAATAATATTTTAATCAAACAAATTACATAAAAAAACGAGAATTTCATGTTCTTTGATATGGCATCTATCTCGTTTTTTTTTTTCGTTTTAACTGTTTTTACATGGAATGAGATATATATGTGTTATATCCATTATGAATATCTATGTACGTTCAAGTACGTAGCTCGTCACCGTAAGTCTTTAACTCGATATCACAGTCTTCAACGTCATAAGGCACCTAGTTCTCTATCACCGTAATTCAACACCCATCGAGATCGACCGAGAACCTATCGAGACCGATTGAGAATATATTCATTGATTTCATATATGTTTATATGTATTAAACCATAACCTACCACTTTCATTTTTCATCTAGAACCTATCAATTTATTATTTGTTTGTATATAAACCCATAGAYTATCACTTACATCCTTTATCAAAAAGTATCAAGAACCCATCGAGACCAATCAAAAACACATCAAGCTCAATCGGCAGCCCATTGGGACCGATCGACACCAATCKAGACTAATCAAGAACCCATCAAATTGACTTGGTGTGTGTTTGTTTGTGTAAACCCATAACCTACCACTTTTAACTTTTATCGAGATGRATCGTGAAATTTATCGAGACGAATCGGAAACTCGTCCAGATCAATCGAGAACCTGATAAATAAAAAACTAAAGTATGAAAGGTTGAGAGTATACTATATTCATGATGAATAATATGTATAACATGATGAATATTACGATGAAAATTAATAATTGTGATAAATATCATATTAATATAAATACTAGAGAGTTATTGTATACACGTGATCATATATGAATATTCATGATGAATAATATGTATATTTATCATGAATGTTACAGTGAAAATGTATATTTCGTATATATATATTTCGTCAAAGACCTTCCAGCCTAGTGGTAAGGCTTGGGCATGACATAGTCATGAACCCAAGTTCGAGCCCTGGGAGGGGAGTGTTAGCGACATTTAAGTGGGGCCATGTTTAGCCTCCAAATTTGCCGGAGATTAGTCGGGCTTTGGCCCGGACACCCTTTCCAAAAAAAAATGTATATTCATGACGAATATCATACTAATGTATGAACGTTGAAAAGTTGTTATATAGATGTGAACATATATAAATATTCATGATGAATAATATGTATATTCATGAGAATAATATGTATCATATTGATGCATGAATACTAGATAGTTATTGTATACACACACACACACACACACACACACATATATATATATAGAGAGAGAGAGAGAGAGAGGTTGGTTATTATACAACCTTCGTTATTTGTGCAACCAATGCAACTCAATCTCAACCGTCCATTTCATTTGATTAATATGTGATTTCATAGAAGTTTTGATTGTTTCCTAATATAAAGTATTAATCATAATTAATGAATCATATTCATTTTCCATAAATATTCAAATTATAATAAATGAACTCTCATCATTTCTATAAATATATCAAATTATTGGTTTGCATTGGTTGTACAAATGCAATGAGTTGTATTTGAAACAAACTCTCTATATATATATATATATATATATATGATTAAATGCATGAAATAGCAACCTACTTTCATAAAATTTCTTATTATAGCATTCTACTTTTATTTTTCTTTATTACAATAATATACTTTCAAATTATTTTTTATTAAAGCATTGTACTTTAAAAAATCTACCCATAACAGCAAATGTTACCTTTTAAACCGGTTAACTCTTTGACTTTTTTGCTTTGATGGCTTTAATGAGGTGATGTGGATGCCACTTCATTATGATGACTTAACAAAAATTAAAATAAAAACCTATATCAAATTATTATTAGTGAATTTCATTTTTTATTGCTATGATCTAAAAAAATATTTTTTTTTATTTTTTCTTATTAAGTTGCATTCAAATTAAATATTCTTAGAGAAAAATATTTATTAAATAAATATGAAACATTATTTTCAAGATATATTTTGTTTGTAAAAAAAGTAATTTTTCTTATTTTATGTTGTTCAAATAAATACATATATTTCAAAGTTCTCTTTAAAATATTAACGAAATAAATTGTTATCTAAAATAATTCAAAAAATATAATTAATTTAATATATTTATACGTCAAGTAAAAAGTTTTTGAACAAATATAATATATTCTTTAAAAGATAGTATTTTTTTGGTAAAAAAGAAACAATTCTTAATTTTTTTTAAAAACACATATTTTTTTAAAAATGTTAGCGAGATAAGTTGTATTCTACTAATTTTATCGATATTGGTATATTAATGAATAATTTAAATTTTTTAATTCATTTAATACATTTATTAAATAACATGTAAAATATCTAAATATTAATAAGAACTAGTAGATGATATAATAAAATAATTTTGAAAGTACAATGATGTTGTAAGAAAGTCACATCACTATAGTACATGTGGACAGCCTACATGGACAATGAGGTGACATGAAAATCTAGTATAATGGGTAAATTTAAATCAAAAGGTTACCCAATGCTATAATGGGTAAATTTTTTAAAGTACAATGCTCTAATAAAAATAGTTTGAAAGTACATTGCTGTAATAAGAAAAACTGAAAGTACAATGCTATAATAAAGAAATTTACGAAAGTAGATTGCTATTTTGTGCAT